ACTCATGTTCCTTGCAATACTCTTCAGGGACCGACAAGACCTCTGTTCGGGAGGTGACCGTGGAGATGGGCCACATCTGCGTTGACGAGGTATCTGTAACGGCTGATCTGACCATGAATGTGAGGGTGCTGATGAGGATGAGAATGATGAAGTCGATAATGAAGGAGACAAAGGAAAGGAGGAGGAGGAGGAGGAGAAGGAAGAGAGGACGACGAAGGAGGGGGAGTACGAGGTGGAGAGGATGATGTGGTGGAAGATGCTGCTGAAGGAGGTGGTGGTGATGATTGTGGAGACTGAGAATGTGTAGAGTGGACAACGGTGGGAACAACAGCAGGCGATGAACAACTAATTCTGCACTCAACTCGACTATATAGAGTCCTCTCTTGAGGGTCACCTATTGGATTGGCCTGCAGTCGCTCATCAGTGTGTAAGGGCACACGGTTAGCAGCAGCCGCCACCGTAATGGGAGGATGCAGACTACCCTCCCCTACAGCCATTTCGACCTCAGGCATGTTGTCTGCTACAGTCGGCCGGGTTGCCGGCTAGGTGTCACAGTCGCATTTGGCGGTATGGAGGGCTGATGCTGCTTATGCTCAAAATGGTAGTTGGCAGGGGTTGGGCAAAGTGACCAGCGCACCATGCGGCGCAACCAGTTCGTAAGCTGGGTGACATGAGTAGGCAGCCGACGCTGCCGTCCATGCACATAAGCAGTCCAATCTCGAGCCAGGACACTGGGGAGGAATGGCCCCTAACGAAGAAACGTCGTGTCAAGAACGTCACTGCAGTTTTGAAGTCGGAAGTGTTATTAGTACTTATTACACACCTGCTTGAACCTCATCAACTGTCCTGTGAGCACGCCTGCGGGTCAATGGGCTGGGACACTGGAGGAAGCACTGGGATAGCATATGACAGTGAGCGCCCAAGCCTCAGCCTTATCAAACATGCCAATGAGGAGTGACCCGTCTGGCTGAACTGAAATTCTTGCCCTGAAGAAGAGACATGACCCATCTTACTGACTAATGTATTTCCAATTTTCCACTCAAGACCATACTGCACAGGGGCGGAGGTGTATTCCAGGATAGGATGAGTGAGCGTTTGTGTGTGTTATAGACTATCCCCAGAACAACCCCTTTTTCACCCAGGCGCAGATCCGAAATTGGAACAGCTTTACCTCATAATAATCTTCTATCAGGTTATATGTGATATTTTAAATGATTGTAATGTTTTGATGAATGGTCGTTTCCTTGTAGTATTCTGAGAGGCGCAAGGTCCACCACGTCCGTATACTTGAGCGCGGAATGCGTACACAGTACTACACACCTGTTTGCTTTTCAGCACAGCTGCACCTTATACTCTCTGTTCTCGTAGTGATGCTCATTCATATGCATCTGCACGAGGGAAGGGCCGCGGAAGGGGAGAAGGGAGGGACAAGGGAAGGGAAGAGGGAAGGGGAGGGAGAGCAGGAGGGAGCAAAAAAAGAAAAGAGAGGAGTGTGTGGAGGGAGGAGAAGAGCGACGGCAGCCTTGGAAAGATAAACCCCATAGGGTCCTCAATACCTGCCGCCAGAACATAGTGCTCGAGACTGGCACAAGAGGCTAGTCAGGGATTGAGTTTGCAGAGACAAATAAGCTGAGGAGGAGACGTTGCCTATGGTAAGTGGCCAATCCTGCGGGACGGAGAGGTGTGGACTGTGGAAGTACCGCATACAATTCTCTGAGTTGCAGTTGCTGCGTCGAATGGTGCAGTGCACACAGATGTCACAGGCATACAGACGGCAATTGTATAGGCACTGCCGTTCCGGACACTGTCTACAATAGGACATGTCATGTGAGAGTGCCGGACAATAGTACAACGTTGATTGTCATCATAGGTATGGAAACAGGAACTTGCATGGGCTATACCCTCATAATCCTCATGGCACACGGAATGCCGATCACATGATGGCCGGACATCAGGTGGATCAGGTTCATCATAGTGCGGCATTGAGCAAGTTTCTCCGGATTCCGCAGTGGCCATTGCCTGCCTATGGATAGGCGATGACGGTGCCTGATCCGAAGTAAGGGTGTTAAGCTGTTGCAAGATGTGGTCTGCAACTGCTCACCCTGGCGGTGGAAACCATTCAGCACAGCGCACTGCAGGTGATCATGTGAAAGTCTGTTCTCAGCCTCAGGCCCCTGTAGAGAGATGAAGCGGGTGATGGCATCAGGGATAGTCCATGCAGTGGAGAGATGAAGTATCCACGACAGCTCCCTGAAAACATCTGGAACACATCGCATCTCTTCAAGCATGGCATGTCAAGGCGACAACCGCATATCGAGCAACTAACAAGGGTGGGGGTGGGGGGGGGGGATGAATGCAGAACACTGTGCCTGCCGACAAACACAATGGCATAGTGTAACACAATCCATCTGATCTGCACAGGGAAGAGACACAACCTGGCCATGTAGAGGGGAGGGAGGGAGGTTGGTGAGATTGTTCTCCGAAAGTGGGAGAGCTTGCGACTGCAAATCGGCATAGCGTTCCCGATTGTTGACGAGCCAAACCTAGTGGGACTCCACCACTTAGTGATTGTAAGAGGTAGTATTACCCTGCGAGCGCACCCTACTGCCATTATCCCGCAGGGTCCAGGAATTATCCTTGAAGGCGATAGCACTGAAATGAACTGTGCAATGCAGAATGAATGCACAAATACTCACGTCCATATCAGGCACATAATTCCCTGGAGCGGGCTGGAGTTGCAGTCATCCCAGTCTGCTGCTGTCCACAATGTGGTGATGATCTTTACAGCGTTGTGGGCCTGCGTGTGCACCAGACACAAGGTGCAACCACCTGTGCAGCATTAGCACGACGAGCAGCCACTCTGATCGGCCTCTGCTCATCTGATGACTCCAATTCACTTCAGCCATATTGCTCCCCTACTCCAAATGAGAATGATGCACCCTCTGATCATTTGATGCAGCCCCTGGCTGGTGATGATCTCTCTCCGTAACACTTTGAGAAGTGCCCGGCAGAGACTGTTGCGACCGGAATGAAGCTCTTCCTGCCAGAGCCAATTGGAGTTATCAAGGCCAGAAGTGCCTGACAGAGACTGTCGAGGCTGGAATGAACCTCCCCCTGCCGTGCAATCTGTGGAGCCACATGACCTCATTGTGCTACAGCAACGCCACTGTGTGTAAGTATGTCTTCTCCCTTGCAGTTGCAACCCCTAAACTGTTTCGGACTTTGCAGACATTGTCCACCAGATAGAAACAAAGCATTGTGCGGTTTGCTCAGAGGATGACAGTACTGCAGCTGGCATGAATATGGACGCATCCATGTAACAGTTAATGAACAGATCATGAGTTGGAATCCTGATTGAATCAAGTGAATTCGGTAACGGATGTTCCTTTGTCTGTCTGTCAGTCTGTCTGTCTGTCTGTCTGTCTGTCTGTCTGTCTATCGGCCATTCGGCAGGTTCGTCCATCCTTCCATTGCTCTGTGTATGCGTTTGTTTGTTTGTTTGTTTGTTTGTTTGTTTGTTTGTTTGTTTGTTTGTTTGCCTTGTCATGTGTTCTTGTCTGTCTGTGTTTTTGTTTGTTTGTTCGTTTGTTTGTTTGTTTGTTCGCTTGTTTGTTTGTTTGTTTGTTTGTTTGTTTGTTTGTTTGTTTGTTTGTTTGTTCGCTTGTTCGCTTGTTTGTTTGTTTGTTTGTTTGTTTGTTTGTTTGTTTGTTTGTTCGTTTGTTTGCCTTCTCTTGTTCTGCCTGTCTGTTCGCCCGTGCATCCATCCACCTGGGCGTCAGTCTATCTGTCTGGTTGCTTGTTTGTTTGTTAACTTGTGCGAGGCCATTGCCTCTATGAGCCCCATAAGGCCCCATTTTTGCAGCCCGTCGGCCGCCCTAAGTGAAGGCAGGCTCGACGAGGCCCTCAGGGCCCTTTTCTGGCCACCACGCAACTCAGGGAAATTCAGGCAGTTGCGCAGCGCCAGTTGGTTGAGCGAACACAGGCCCTGGGCCGCCTGTGTGAATGTCTGTGAAGCAGGCCCTGGGCTGGATACGGGTACCGGGCCAAACACGGGCCGAAGGCAGTTGGGCACATGCAACCACTTCAGGCCCAAGGCCTGCTCTCGTCGTGCAGGGCCTCAGGCTACCGGGGCCTACTGGAAGCTTCCTGGGACTGGACGCAGGCAGGCCACTTGGATATAGGAAAGGGYCTGCCTCCTCATTCGAGATTCGGGTGCTGGCTGCATGCTGCGCAAGCGCTGCTGCTGCGCTATTTGCTGGCTGGCGCCTACGCTCTCAYGGGCGAGCAGGGAAGGAGCACGCAGCCATAGCCGAGCTGCGCTGCTGTAAGCTGGGTGAGGYGCAGRGTGGTCCTTGGGTGCTAGTGGCATCTGTGAGTTGGGGAACGAGGTTGTGAGTGTAGCGYGAGRCATACCTGGTGCTGGAAGCGTGYGACASTGGTCGCCATATGCTCGTACTTCSRGAATGYTGTTGACGTCRTCTTTYGGCTTCGTAGTATAGGCTAGRTAGGATCTGCCACRTGTAGTCTGGGCGCCGAGCGCCAGATAGGATATCAACTCTGGTTCTTCGTTGATGATGATGGGACTATTTCAGCATTGTCAATTATGAACTCTTGGTGTGTTCTTATTTGGTGAATCTCGTGATGCAATTCTGCTGTTGGTTCGAGGTCACGACTATCTGGACTCATATGTATGATGCTGTTAGATTGCTGAAGTTCGCTATTGCTCATCTTCCTTGCACTTGTTTGTTCCTTAGTTCATACATCTGTTAAATTTTGTTTGTTTGTTCGTCCGTTCATTTGTTTGTTTGTTTTTTCATGTGTTCTTTTTTTTACCGGTTCCCCCGTTCCTGGGTTTGTTTGTTCATTCATTCGTTTATTCAGTCATTGTTTGAAGTTGCTCTGTGGATCCCCAAGCCAAGTTACGTCCCTGTCGCTCTGACAACAAAAATGATGTCATCAGACTCATCACCATTTAGTCACCGAGGAGCCGAGTTACGTACCTGTCCCTCTGAGAGCTTGGCCAGCCGATGTGGACACATGTCCTCTACACAACGGACCATTCCTTTGTCGTCTCTATACAGCACCAGTGGCTTGTCGAAGAGAGTGACAGCCACAGGTTTATCAGAAGGGAAATCTTTCGAGCAATACACCGGGTACCATTCTGCTCGCCAGTCGTACGATATCTGCGTTTGGCTGTTGTCTGCGTCACTGTCCCATTCTTCCACCTTTCTCTCTCCCATCTCCCCTCCCTCTTCTTGACTTGTTTCAGCAGTCAATCCTCCCATACCAGCTACCTCTGCCGCTGCTAAGAACATGCCACGGATGCTGACCCTGTTGGTCGTCGCCTTCCAAAGACTATTGAAACTGCCACGGACAGACTGGCGCAAGCTTGCCTTGCCTGTTTCTCCTCCTCTTCGTCCTTGCTCTTGCCCTCTGCCTCTTCGCATCGATCTGTCATTTGCCACAGTCGGACGCTGAATATTTTCAATCTCGCGCAGGCACCTGTACGTGAAAGACTTAGGTTCCGACAACAAACATGTCTTCGCAGTTTCCAGGTCCTGATGCTGATGCGGACACACTCGGCGTGCAGAACCAAACAGCGGAGACCGTCGCAGCGATTTCAGCTTTACCCTTGCCGTCTTCTGGTTCTGAAAAACAGAATGCACGCTGCCTCTGTTGTATCCAGCAGTGTTGGAGGTGAAGGAGGTGGTGGATGAGCTAGCCATTGATCTGGTTGCCATAGCTGGCAGCAGGCACCGCGCTCCAAGTGTCATTGCCCCTAACTTCCTAAGCAAGGATCAATTCCAGCTCCACAGATGAGACAGCGGCACAGGTCATTCCCACACTCAGATGATTTTGCCTGAATCTGGCTCTGGTACTTAGTGTGAGGGTGCGCTCAAACCCCCTTCGGCCTTCACGTCTCAGTCTATTTGCAGCACAGGTCAGTCCCACACTCAGATGAGTTTGCCTGAATCTGGCTCCGGTACATAGAGTAAGGGTGCGCTCAACCCCCACTTCCGTCTCCACGTCCCAGTCTACTTACAGCTGGCTTTAAGCGTGCAAAACCAGGCTGTGCTGGCTCCAGTACTTAGTGTTGTGAGGGTGCAGTCAACCCCCCCTTCCACCTCCACGTCTCAGTCTGTTTGCAGCACGGGTCATTCCCACACTCAGATGAGTCTGCCTGAATCTGGCTCCAGTACTTAGTGTGAGGATGCGCTCAACGCCCACTTCCGCCCCCACGTCTCAGTCTATTTGCAGCTGCCTTTTCCAAAACCAGGCTGCGCACACCACTCCCACTTCCTCCAACTCCCATGGGTATGCCTTTGCATGCGCTGGAACTCTCTCTCTTCACCCAGCTGTGCATGATCTTTACTGTAACACACAGACATCCAGGTATATTCTGATAGGGGTGGGGCATATTGACAGTCCCAAAGTCCAGAACGCATGTGCCTCGCACTTAGTCAAGCTGATTATGCTGATGAAAAAGAAAAAGAAAAAGGAAAAGAAAAAGGAAAAGAAAAAGAAAAGAACAGAAAAAGGCAATCAAGCTAAGCAGTTGCTTATCGATACTCAAACATCAGATACGTAAACCACACCCTTAGGTAAAGGAATCAAGCTGGAAGTGTAAGTCTGCCAGCAGCTCCTTGCCATTGGTGATGAGGCAAAGAAATGGTTGAGAGTCTTGAGACTCACCAAATGCTATGTGTTCCATCGTTCCCTGACCACTACCATGTTCACTCGGATAGAACGCGCAGTCATTGTCGCTGCATGCAGGCTGGCAGTTGCCCCAAATACAGCTATAGTGAGCGGGCGTTCAATTCGGGTGAAGACAGTAGGTGCTGTGCAGCAGGCCTAAATCCATACTGCGCCCCCCCAAACAGAATGTTGCATTGAAATACAGTCGTGACTCGGCCCTGCAGGCCCTTTCCGCATCGTTTACAGGGTGGGGGGGGTTACTAATCTTGAAGCATTGGGCCTAATCTATTTTTAGGCCTGGTAGGCTCTCAGCAGTCCCACCCTTGTAAACCCATCTCCTTACGCTGCTCCTGTTTTTCATCTAGCCTTCCCCTGTTCACACTGCCCTCGCTCTGCCTGTCTGTTTCTCTCTTGTATAGCCGATGTCCCTTTTCACTTATTGTACCACACACACACACACACACACACACACACACACACACACACACACACACACACACACACACATGGTGGCTACAATGTTTTTCAGGAGTGGGAATGTTTGTTTGGAGTTCTGACCACAGTATCGTTGCGAGGACGCTCAGAGAGTGTTTGCTGTGGCCCGTGGGTGTCATTCCCATGCGCTGCTCTTTTGGAGCACATGGAAGATGGGGTAGCTTCTAGTGTGTTTTAAGCAGTAGCGCTCCTGGTGTGACGTGAAGATTTTGCAGTAGCGCTCCTGGTGGAACATGGATTATGGTACTCTATACACTCCAGAGGCTAGATAGTAAATGGAGGATCTCTAGCCATGGAATGATAGAGATACTGGTGACGTGAGTGGGTCGTTTGGGATGAATAGCAGTGCCAGTGCTGTTGTGCTTGTGTAATTAATTTTGTGGTCTCGTAGACTGACTCAGGGGGCTTTCAAAGTTTTTTTGGACCATTGGTGGCGGGGTCGGTGCTTTCTTGCTGGCACATCTTAGGTATGTTGCCTTTTGCCCATCATCCAAAGATTCCACACACTAACTTCAAAAATTGTGCTTGATCCTGAATACTCGAACTCGTAGCTCAGTGCTGTCGTCAACTTCTCATACTCAGACTAAGTTTTCTGAAATAGACAACGTGCCTACCGTCTTCACCCAAATAGAACGCCCAGTCATTATAGCCATATTTGGCGCCATTTTCTGTCCAGATGCAGCGATAATGACCGGGCGTTCTATTCGGATGAAGACGGTAGCTCGGTTGGTACACCCGTGAACTGTTGAAATGCAGACCTGTGTTCGAACCTAAATGAAACTAGATGAATGAAAAATCTTGAATCTTCTGAATTACTGAGAATGAAACTGCTCAATTACCTCAGGTTGGTCAGTTCAACCATAATATCTCAAGGCCATCAACTTTTCTAAGAAAAGGAAAAGAAGAAGGGAGGGGGGGGGGAGGGGAGGAGGCAAAAAAGAAAGGTAGTTTTTTCTGTCATAGACTACTCGATTAGCGCCCGCAGTGCAGGCGGTGTGGGCTACGCCCGCATAACAAAAAGAAAGTACTCACACAACCTTAAATGGACTTTTTCTCTTTCAAGTTGCAAGGAGGGGGGGCTGTCGGACTTGGATCCATATATTGCTTCACCACACACAAACCCCGACCTAAACATACTTTCACATCCATAAAAAATATACATGTATGTTAAATGGACTTCTTTCTTCTCAGAAATAGTTAAGAATATACTTTTTTTTTTTTTTTTTCAAGTTGCGGGGGGCCGGCGCGCGGGGAATATATATATATATATATATATATATATATATATTTNTGTACTGCCATTGACATCTGACAGACAGCATTAGTTAGAACTGTTTATTGTTCCTGGTGCTTCTGTTTGCGGACTAGTTAGACTAAAAATAGTTTCAGTTGTAGGAATCTGACTTACTTGTTGACCTCAAGTGATGTCTGTTCCAAAATAGCCACCAACTAATTAGTTGGTCTGAGCATTATGTTGTGGTAGGCACCTAGAGTGTCCTAGTGTAGACGGTGCACAGCGTTGTAGCCTATGAGCGACCAGGAGGACACACACTTGGACGACCGGATCTTGCGATCAGCTAGACGCCCGATAGCCCACGTGTCCCTAGGACCGGAGGGTGATAGGATTCTGTCCCGCCAGCTTAGGGAGAGGCAGCAGCAGCAGAGGAGAGCTAGAGCAGCCGAGGCCAGCAGGGCTTTAGTTAGCAAGGCCGGTGCTACAGCAGCCATGGCTACTTCCGCCATGGTCACTTCTGCGCAGCAGACTTCCCAAGCCAGCAGTTCAGGTGCCGTCGGGTCAACGGTCGCGCAGACCGTGAGTCAGTCCACTGGCGTTATGGCAAGCCAGGCAGCAGTGTTGACTCCAGAGGATGTCGCCATCCAGCCGGCAGCCCTGCAGGAGGCACAGCTACAGCGGGCATTAGGGGAGATAAAAGCGGAGAAGGAAAGAATGATTAGAAGAAGAGCCAGGATGCAATGGAGAGGGGCAGACATAGAGGAGTTAGATACGATGTACCTGACAAACATAGATGATGATGTGAGGGTAGTAAGGAGGGCCCTGCTAGGCGTAATAGAGATGCAGGAGCATCAAACTACCATCCTTCAGGATATCCAACAGAGCCTAGCCGTTTTGGCAGGCCGTGCTCAGGCAGCACCATCATTACCTGGGCCTGGTGCCTGGCCCGTGGCATATCCTCCTTTTTCTGTTCCACCGGTGACAGGGGTATCTCCATATGTAGCCCCGTCATTGGTTGCTATTGTTTCCCTGGGCATGCCGCTGCCAGGAGGGGTAACAGCAGGGAATAGTTTGCAGGCTCCTGTTCAGACAGTGTACACCCAAACTCCGTCGCAGGTTGCAGTCACCACGCAGCCTGCAGTCTCGCAGCCTGTGCAACCTCAGGGCACGCAGCCCCAGCAGCTAGCACAGCAACCTGTGTCCGCGGGTCCACAGCCCGGAGTGGTGCAGGGACCGGGACAAACTCAGTGGGTTCCGAAGACGGCCATTGCCGCTCCCAAACCTTTTACAGGGGACAAGAGAGGCGAAGACCTCGACACATGGTTGAGGTCAGTGCCAATCTATGTTAGGTGCAAACTTACCTTGCCGCACGAAGAAGTGCTTGTGGCTGCATCTCACCTAGAGGGTAGTGCAACAAGATGGTTAAGCTGTTTAGTGCAGCTCCAGGGATATGGCCATGACTTCCGCGCTTTGGCAGCCACCCAGAAACTGGATGACTTCCTGAAGATGGTGGAGGAGAGGTGGCATGATCCTCAAGAGGCTCAAAGGGCCACTGATGCGATCCTGACACTGCACACGAGGCAGTTTAAGTCAGTAAGGGAAGCCACCGACGCTGTCGAGCGTCTGATCTGTGTCCCAGGGGTGCGCTATGACCCCCAGGTCCTGCTGACTTCGTACTTGAGGTGCTTTTCTCAGCCTCTCAGGAACCAGTTGGCAAGAGAGGCCAACATCAATATGCACAACTTCCCTTCGTTCAGCAAGATGGCCCTAGACCTTGAGGCTAAGATAGGGCATAAACAGGCACCCACGACGGATGGGAGGAAGAAGACACTGCCTCCTAACTGGAAAGCGAAAGGTCGCTTGATGTTTGTCGACAACGATGGTTCAACCATCGAGTTGGACGGCAACTTCTAGGAGGGAGTAGGTTCAGAGGCAGGCAGCGTAGACGCTTCAGAGGGTGGAGTAGTCGTTGCCGTATCTCAAAAAGGAAAGGCGACCGGTCGACGCCGCGGAGGCTCCCGGTCTAGGAGTCAAGTCGACCCCAACGCTCCCCCTGGGAGAAAGCGGGTCTTACAGAGAACGTGTGGAGAGACCGTTACTCACGGCAGGCCTGTATTCGTTGTGGTCAATATGGCCACAACCAATTCAAGTGCCGCAATAAGAAGGTGACAGAAAAGATCCTGCCTACGATGGGGCAGGTGTTGGGATCCTCTCATCCCGTTGGTAGCAACGTTGCCAGCACTTCAGGCAGTGCTCCGGGAAACACGTCGGGCCAGTAGGAATAGTAGCTGTTCCTGCTAGGGTCGAGGTGGTGGAGACACCCTCACCATCTCGAGAGATGGCCCAAGCTACTGACTCCAGCATCGTCCTGCAAGCACATTCAGACCCATCGAGCCTCTGTTCGATGAATGTGTTTGAGTCCTTAGAGGAGCTAGAGGTGGAGTGGTCTAGATCAGACCCGATAGCTTCTTGGACGGCACTAGTCAAAGCCCCGAAGGGTGAGATGTTCGTTAGCGAGGTAGTCATTGGCGGTCGCAAGGCCGGGGCCTATTATGACACTTGCTCGACTAAGAACTTTATCAGTCGTGCGTGCGTTGAGAGGTTGCGTTTACAGGGGCGAGTGCAGCGCCTGAGTCGACCTGTGGAGTCGACTTGTGCCAACAAACAGCGCATGGTAGTCAATGACTACCTTTAGGATGTTGAGTGTTGTTTCCCGTACGCGGGAGGGGACTTGAGACATCGTGTCTCGTTCCTGGTGAGTGACGAGCTCCCAATGGATATGTTACTAGGTATGTACTATCTCTCTGTGGCACAGCCCCAGTTTGACTGGGACCGAAAAGTGGTCAAACACACGTTGCCAGGTGGAAGGACCGCCAGATTACATAAGTTCAAAGCTAGTAGTCTGATTGAGTCCTATGGGTGCATGTGTGCGGCCGCGTTCTACAATTATTATAAGCAAAATCAGGAGGAAGGTATGTATTTAGTTTATGTCTCTGCTGCAGGCGAGCCGGTGAAAATGCCGCCGGAGAGAGAGGGAGTAGTTGCTAAGTACCCTGATCTATTTGAAGAGCCGACAGGGGTTGTTGAGAGGGAGGTTGTCCACGCGATAGAGATTATCCCAGGGTCTAGTATTCTGAAGGGTAGGATCTATCGGATGTCTCCAGGCGATCTTGATGAGCTTCGCCGCCAACTCAAGGAAATCGTAGAGAAGGGTTGGATCCGGCCGAGTGTCTCTCCTTATGGGTCTCCAGTTCTATTCGTACCCAAGAAGAAGGAGGGTAATCTTAGGATGTGCATTGACTATAGGGGCCTCAATGCCATCACTGTAAAGAATAGAGAGCCCCTTCCGCGCATCGATGATCTGTTAGATAGAGTGCAAGGGTGTCGGTACTTTAGTAAGATAGATCTGAAGTCCGGGTACCATCAGATTGCAATCCGGCCCGAGGATCAACACAAAACTGCTTTCCAGACCAGGTACGATCTGTACGAGTTTGTGGTGATGCCTTTTGGCCTTTGCAATGCTCCTGGCACCTTTCAGCACGCTATGAATCGGATATTCCATGACTACTTAGATAAGTTTGTCATCGTGTACCTCGATGACATACTTATTTTTAGTAAGACTGTCGAGGAGCACGTTGCACATTTGGACAAAGTCCTTAGCCTCCTGCAACAGCACAAGTTCAAGATCAACGGTTAGAAGTGCGAGTTTGGCCGCACCCGTGTCTTGTACTTGGGTCATGAGATCTCCGCGGAAGGGTTGAAGCCGGATGACGCAAAGGTGGCCAGCATTCGTGATTGGCCACGTCCTCAGTGTGACTGAGATGAGATCTTTCTTAGGAATGACAGGCTACTATAGGACTTTCGTTAAAAACTATAGTATAGTGGCCGCTCCTTTGACTGATCTGATGCGCCTTGACACCCCATGGGAGTGGACAGACGAGTGCGAGGCTGCTTTCAGACATCTGAAGCATGCGTTGACGCACTACGAGGTCTTGAAACTTCCAGATCCTGACAAGCCGTTTATAGTCACCACGGATGCCAGCCAATATGGCATTGGCGTCGTGCTCGTGCAACAGGAGGGGCCAAAGTTGAGGCCAGTAAAGTACATGTCCAAGAAAATGTCGTCTCAGATGTTGGCTAAGTCCACCTATGAGAAGGAACTCTATGCGGTGTACAAGGCTCTGACCCATTGGAGACACTACCTCCTTGGGAGGTTCTTCATCCTCATGACTGATCATCAGACCCTAAGATGGATGAGAACTCAGTCGGTACTCTCTGACGCTCTCAAGCGTTGGATCGAAGTCATTGAGCAATATGACTTTGACCCTCAGTATCTGAAAGGGGAGTACAACAAGGTTGCTAATGCCTTGTCGCGTAGACCTGATTTCTCAGGTGCGGTGATTACTGAGTTCGCTCTAACAGACCATGTTACTCAATCCTTGGTGGAAGCCTATCGCGAGGACCAGTTCATGTCTGAGATCATACGCAGACTCGAGGCAAAGGACAAGAAGACCTCTGCCGAGTTTGAGTTGGTCAACGGCTTGTTGTTCCTTGAGAAGGAAGGGAATAAACGATTGTGTGTCCCAAGTAGCGAGTCTTTGCGTAGTTTGTTTTTAGGAGAGTGTCATGATGCCACCGGCCATTTTGGGTACAAGAAGACCGCAGCCAATCTGCTGCAGCAGTTCTGGTGGCCCACGATGATGCGAGACGCCCAGCTGTACATGGAGACTTGTTAAGTATGTCAAAGAGACAAGCCCCGTACTCAGGCTCCTCTTGGGCTCCTGAAGCCCCTTCCGATTCCGGAACGGCCTGGTGAGAGTTTGTCCATGGATTTCATGGATACTCTGGTCACCAGCAAGAGTGGGATGCGACACATCTTTGTCATCGTGGATAGAATTAGCAAGTATGCTAGGTTAGTGGCAATGCCGGAAACAGCTAAAACGGAGTATGTGATCAAAATGTTTAAAGAGAACTGGGTCAGAGATTTTGGTTTACCGAAGTCTATTATTAGTGACAGGGATGTCCGGTTCACCAGTGAGTTGTGGAAGGCCGCTGCTGCAGAGCAGGGAACTCGGTTGCAGATGCCTTCTGGGAATCACCCAGAGGCCAACGGTCAGGCCGAGCAACTGAACCGCACTGTACAACACCTGTTGAGGTACTACATCAAGCCCAACCAGCTGGACTGGGATGAGAAGCTTGCTCTCATCGCCAATTTGTACAACAACGCTGTACACAGCGCCACCGGGGTGAGCCCAAACAACTTATTGCTAACGTTCAAGCCTAGACTGCCCCTGGATTTTCTCCTTCCCGAGAATCAGTCAACTGCTGCACCAGGTACGTTAGAGTTTGCTTACCGCTATGAACAGAAGATGCAGCAGGCTGTAGAACAGATGCAGAAGGCTCAAGCTGCAATGATAGAGTCTAAGAATGGACACTGCCGACCTTCTACATTCCAGGTTGGGGATAGGGTATGGGTTAAGTCTTCAGAACTGGGACAGGAGCACGGGATCTCCCGCAAACTCATGCCCCAGTACTTTGGACCCTGGGAAGTCTTGAACATCGTTGGGACAGATCCGGATGGGCCATCTTATGTTATCCGGATCCCTGGTCATCTCCGTACTTACCCTGTCTTTCACGCATCCAAGCTGGCCCCTTTCAAAGAGACTGATCAGTTTCCATCGCGTCGCTCAATGCTGCCCGCATCCATGGACAGAGAGGTGGACATCGATGATATTGTGGATTACAGAGAGCTGCCGGTATCAAGACCAGCAGGCAGGGGACGTCCTCCAAAACCGAAGATGCAGTACCGCGTTCGGTTCGGCCATCACACTGATCCGAAGGAGGACCGCTGGTTCACCAGGGAAGAGCTCATGCAGACCGCTCCTCAAGTTGTAACTCGATACGAGAGATCTCTGCAGAAGGGAAAGCGCCCTATGATCGAAGACTGAGCTTNCTGTGGTACGATTGCGCTCATCTGGCGCTTGTCTTCTGCCTTATGCGGTACATACATGTGGTCTGCTGGGCGAGTTTGGCCGTAAGTGGTGTGTAGTGAGGAGGGTGGAGACGAGTGTATAGGCGACCCAGGAGGTGAGGGGATCGCCAGGAAGGCTACGTGGGGTGAAATGTGGTCTGGACAGTGTGATGAGAACTATCTAATGTGCGATTGATGCTGAGGTGGAACGGCGATGCTGGTTGTGTCGATGCAGTGACTGGTCATTGCCATCGCCATCTGGTCATCTGGTGAGATTATCTTGGGGGCAGCTAATTGAGGTACGTTGCTCTTAACCTTATCTTCCCTCTCTGACACTTCTTACCGTGAGGTTGTGTGTTCCTTCTTGAGAGTCCTCTCATCATGAGGTGTCGAGTGCGCTCAACCTTGAGAGTCGACAATGTTCACGTGGAGCATCTGGGTGAAGATGGGCGGAACTTTCTGAAGGGCCCTGGATGAAGCACTGGGTCATGGTCACCATGCCAACCCACAGGGAGTAGAGCACGCATGCCTTGCTGCTAGTCCTTTGTTCGGCTTGCTACGCTGTTAGATGGGTACTACTGGGCAGGCCAGCCCTACAGGAAAGACGAGCACCCAGCGTCTATAAATAAACACGGGAAGGGGATATCACTGGTTGTGATCGTCGTCCTGCTGCGACGTAAAATAATTCCTGATGTCACTTGGGGGCGGACGTTAAAATGCCTCTTGATCAGCCATTGATGTAAGGCTCGCTGCACGCCAAGGATAAATATACGTGCAAGGCTGGCCAGCTCATCAGATACTCGGGGCACAGGGGTGGGCCGGACACACACCTTTAGACACGCAACACTCTCCTGATTGCTCAGGGACGCTGACGTCAAGAGATACTCAGGGGAACTAAGGGAGGGGTTGATTCCAGGTGACAAGTTCGAGAAAATTCCATGCTGTCCTATCCGCACAAATTATTCTATTTTTATGTTTTTGATTAGTTAGATGTACTTCCTGTCCCGACCCCCTTCCCCGAACTTCCCATCCAACTTCTTCTTCTGACTAACATCCCTGCACAACTCCGGAAAGCGGAAAAGATTTGGTATGGACTCATCAGGAAGGTGACACTGTGGGTCATATGGAAGGAAAGATGCAGCAGAACGATCGAAGGAGTGGCCAACGCACGAGAAATGTGTTGGCTGGAAACGAAAGCAATGATACAGGCGGAAATCCTATGCCAATGGCGGAAAATCAAACTATCATGGTCAGAAGACGAGGAACAGCGGAAGAAGGCAAGATAGAAGTTCAACAGGTTATGGTTGATAGGAGGAAAAGTTGCTGATATACGAGACGACCGTATATACTGGAAGGACTGGCACAACTCCAACTCTTGGAACAGTCTTGGACAAGGACCATCGGGGCAAGGGCAAGGCATCTCCGGACCAGAATCTTGAAGGGACAATGGCATTGTGCAAGCCTAGGCAGAAGACAAGGAACAGCATAAGAACGGGAGAGGGAGGGTATACAAGAACGGGGTAGTGACAAAGCAGGATGACTGAGAGCGATGAAGAACGGGGTAGTGACAAAGCAGGATGACTGAGAGCGATGAGGACTGTATCTACTGGAAGCATGACTCATTGCCAGAAAGAAGCTTCCTCCGGAGGTCAAAGGCGGTGGTATCAATCATACTCTGGAACACGACACGAAAAGCGTATTTTGGAATGATGAGCATAGCTCAAATCTCAGAGAGAGGCTATCGAGAACAGATAACAAGGGAAGGGCAAAACACAGTCAGATCAGACCTCTACGGGGCCTCGACAAGCATA